AGTAGGAGAGAACAGAATCCTGGAAGCCAAGGCAGGAGAGGTTTTCAAGAGGTCTGTAGTGTCTAATATGGAGAAGAGGTCAAGTAAGATGAGGAACAAGAATATCTTGAATTTGATAACTTGAATCCCATTGGTGACATTTGCCTGAGTAGATTCAGTGGAGGATGGGGTGAAGGCCTAACTTCCAGGGGACTACCAGTGAAAGGGAGGTAAAGGCTTGAAAAGACTGAGTCTCATATATTCTTTGAAAGAACTTTGCTGTGATGTGAAGGGGAGATTTGGATTTCCTTCAGAATGTTACACCAGGTTTGTCAAGGAAACTTTCTGCTGAAAACAAATTAAAATGCTCAGTAAACTAGCAAGAAAGTGAAAAATACTCAAGTCAAAACTAAGGAACAAAGAGAGGAAAGCAGATCACCAAAGTTGCCTTTTACCTTTAAGAGTATCTGTATACCAGGTGAACCTGAACTTTGGTTTTTGCAGGTGAGCAGGATACAGAGGACAGGAGACAAAGTTCAGGCCTGTCCAAAGTGGGGAGTCTAATAAGAGACCCTCTGCACAAAGCTGTAACCCATGAAGGGTACTACACTTAGTTTGAGGATGAGGTGGAAATAATTTACTCCTCCAAGAGACTACAAGGAAAATTTCCTGACTTGAACTTTGGCTCTAAGTGAGAATGGGGGAAAATCTTCCCTGAGAATTCATAACTGCAAGCTGGCCTCCATGATTTAATTTCATTCCAAATTCTCCCTATCTGGATGATATGAAAAACTACACACTATTTAGATTCAAGTGGTCCTGGGCAGGTAGTACTTCCTGGTAGTGCCATAAATAAAGAAGAGAAAATCATCTCTAGAGGAAGCCACCTTCAACTAAGGTACAAGGAATTCCCACAGACAAAATTCCAAGAAATCCAATCTACATAGTCAAAAATTCAAAAAGACATTACCAAATATAGCTAAGAGAAAAATAATAGTCAACTTAGAATTATATGCTCATAGAAAATTTCTTTAAAAAATGAAGGCTAAATAAAAATATATATGTTACATATGAATTCATACATAGTTTACTAATTGTTAGGTGTTTATTAATAGAAGAGAAACAAAGTGTGTAACTTCCAGGTTAGGAGGATGAAAGAAATAGAATGAGAAAAATATCCAAAAAAAGATGAGAAAAGAAAGAAAAAGTACAATAATAAAGTGGGATAAATAGAAAGAACAAAATAAGATGGCAAAAATAAATTCAAATATATCCATGATTACAATAAATATAAATGGACCAAATAATCTAATTTAAAAATAAAGATTTCCAGACTGGCCAAGAAAAAGAGAGAAAAGAGGATTGCAGAAGGATATACAAGGTCAAGGGAGTGTTTGTTTTGTTGCTTTACAAGAAGAGAGAGATTGCAGCTGAGACTGCAATAAAGGAGCCAAGAGAAGTTCAAATTCACAGAAAGAAGGAGTAAGTGATTGAGCCAGAATCCAGGGTAGATGGGTAGCACAGGATCAAGATTCGGAGGTGCAGGAGGCTGGCTGGTTAGCTCAGTTGGTTAGAGCGTGGTGCCAATGACACCAAGATCCAGGGTTCAATCTCTGTACCAGCCAGCTGCCCCCTACCAAAAAAATTCAGAGGTACAGGAATCAGCCTTGGCCTGAAGGAAAATATTACCTTCTCAGGGGTTGGAGTAAGGAGGTGAACAAAGAGAAAGTTTATAGGCATGAAGGATCATTTTGATGTTCTCAGTCAAGGTGCAGTCATGGCCCTCTCTTTAGATACAATATGTGCAGGGGGTGGGGTGGCATATGATGGTGAATGTGCTTGAGAAGAGCACTGAGAATTTGTAAAAGTCATTGTGGAGAGTGGTGGTGGGATCCAGGGACATAGAACAGCAGAAAGGGATTGTCAAATGGCACCAGGACCCAACCAGGATTGCAGAACATAAAGTTGAGGTTATAACAAGCTTCTTTTATGGTACAGTTTCCTCTGGAAATGCTCAGCAGCATAAGGTGGGAACAGAAGAGAGGACTTTGGAGGTTGAAGGGGTGAGGGTAGGGGCATAGGGGCTGGTATAGGGACAGATGAGCTGGGGTATTGAGGGAAGAAGTGGGAGGGGTGGGTTAGGCAATGGGAAGAACTTGAATGTGATGTGTCTGGTGGCTAAGGGTGGGGGACTGGTTTTAGGGACTGCTATGGGCTTGAGAAGCCCAAAGGCCCCAGTCAGTGTCAGGGACTTGATGTGGTCAGCAGCTCACAGTTTGTGCTCAGCAGTCCCATGGGATGCTACTGAGCTGTGGTGTTCTTGAAGAAAACCCTCCCAGGTTTTTCTCGATCACCTTCTACTCCAGAGGCTATTGCATTATTTTAGAGGCAAGCCTCCTTTTTTTCCTTTAACCCTCACACTGACCTCATTCCACCCCAGGGCCTCCTTGGTAAATAGGCCCTGTGCCCTCAGCCTTGATGATTCATACTTCAGTTTCTATCCGGGCTTGCCCAGTGGCCAAACAGGATCGTTCTTCCGGTCATTCTCCTTTTGTTGTGGACCTTGCAGCTTTAGCCTGTTGGGAGAACACTATCCCCATCCCCTTCTCCACGCCCTCAGCGATAGCACAGTTCGGAACCTCACACTACACATCTCTGGTGCTGCTAGTGGTGCAACCTCCCTACCCCCAGCCACCCTTCCTCCAGTCCACCAGGCACACCGTGACATACCTGGGCTCCAAGAAACCCCTCATTTTGTTATCTGCCTTCTCCAGAACATACAAGTTCCCTATTACCTATAACACCAAGCCAAGAGCATGGCGTTCTAAACCCAGAGAGAATTTTAGAAATTATTTAGTCTGACCCCCTTGTTTTACAGATGAAGAAATTGAGGCCCAGAGAAGATAAGTGACTTGTCCAGAACAAAGCCAAAACAGGCAATCAAGACCTCTACATGACAAGAACTTACCATCCATCAGACTGACTTCCCCTATACATGAAAACACAGAGACCAGACACTGACTCTCCTAAGAATTTTATACAACATTAGAACATTATGTATTTAATCTTCACAGCAACCCAGTGAGAAAGGTAGTATTGTTCACCCCCTTGTAGAGATGAGGAACTGAGGCACAGAGGAATCAAGTAACTTGCCCAAGGTCACCCAGCTAACCCCAGTCCAGAAAGCTCCTCTATTGTCCTAGCTTCTCTCCCCCATCCCCACCCCCTCACACACACACACACACACACACACACACACACACACACTCCACACTTATAGTTTTCCTTCTGCCTGGATCACAAGAGTCTATCGCTCCCATCAGCTACACCAGCTTCTCCTAGGGGAGTTTGCATGGTCTGCCCTTTGGCCAGAGATGATTGCACCAGGGTTGGACACCTGAACCACGAGAAAGCAATAAATTGGCTGACTAAGCCATTCAAGTCCTCTCTCATGAGGGTTTGAACTAAGAAGTCTCAGAAACTGAGGTATTTAGATGGTGGTGGGCTCTGGAGACTAGTGCCTGGAAGCCACCTGGACCAGGGTGAGCCAGGGTGAGAGAGTGGAGCAAAAGCACAGGAGAAGAAGAGACCAAAGACCCACAGAGAGAGGGAGAGGGAGCGTGAGAGTTTACCAAGGTGTGCCTGTGGGTGTGTCTGAGTACACACACACCTTCCAGCCTCACCTGCTCTAACAGCCAAATTATCCCCAACACACACTCAGGCCAGTGTCTTCTCAGATCCCATGAGATCTGGCTGTGTGTTCACCACTGGGTTCTCTGAGATTCCCATCTGACTTCCTAGGAAATCCTCTCTTCACTTGCATTGGTTTGGATGTGTTTGTCCTTGTAGTCCATGAGCCCTGGCTAGAACACCAGCTCAAGTAATTCCCCCAGCTCAGGGCCTGACTCCTCCAGGAAGCCTTTCCCCCTCCTCCATGCAGTCGTCTCATCTTTCCCCAGACAGATCATAAACCCTACCATGGCAGCCATTGCTTTCAATTACCTCTGTGTTCAGCACATACTTGTTGATTGGTCAAATCTTCTAACTTGGGGGCACCCATTTTTGATTTTGCTATTTGAAGTTGGACTGTCCTTATTGGTACCATTTTATGTTCTAGCAAATCCATGTATCTGTCCATCATTTATTTATCTTTGGAACATGTATTGAGTGTCTTATGCCAGGCACTGAGCTAGGCCCTGGGATTGATGAAAATTTCTTAGTTCTTGTCCTCCAGGAATTCACAATTCAGGAGGGAAATCCAGATTCCCCTAGCCAAATTGGTCACACCAGGGGCTGGCTGGTTAGCTAGCTGGTAGAGCGTGGTGCTGATAACACTGGCCAGCCACCAAAAAAACTCCCCAAAACGAATGGGTCACACCAAGACAGGCTTTGGTTTCATGACCCCAGCTACACATACACACTCTGGACATGACTCTTCGCCTTGTCACACTGTCACACACACCCAGACACAGGCTCTATCTTGTTTGCTCCTCCCCATTCCTCCATGTGCTTCCTCACGCCAAGTGCCCACCCCTGCTTCCTGCCTGGCTTCTCACTGCTGTCTGCTCTGGAAGATGCCCTGGAGTCCTCACTCTTCCCTCCACTCTCCCTCCTTTTTGATCCTCCTTTTGTGGTACAGAAATTGACACTATAGTCTGTACGTGTGCGTGTGCGTGCATGCGCCTTTATGCTATTTTAAGACCCCAGCACTTTGCAAAAACCTGGTGGAGAATCCTGCCAAAGCCCCAGGATGGGGGAGGGCAGGCTGGGCAATCTGAGCCTGGGGCAGACTGGGCGTCTGCCGAGCCAGGTTAGCAGCCACCAGCTGCAGAGCCTCGGCTCAAACCAATGCTCTTCATGGCTGGTTTTCTGGCCCGCTCCGGCCCAGCCTGACCCGGCCCATCCACCTCCTGTTCGCCATGCCCAGTCCTCATTCCTCTCCACAAGTTGCTTAGGAGTTTGCACACCAGGCATCATGTAAAATTGTTGCGTTTCTGGAAACACACACATGCAGAGAAGCCTTGAAATTCTTCTTGGAACGGGTCCAGAGATTTATTTATGAAATTCCCAGGGGGTGGGAGAGACAGAAGTCTGGACTTTACAGACCGAGTACTGTGCCGTCATCGCATCAGCATAACCACCAGCTCTAGTGTGCACTTAGTAAATGCCCACCGCCTGCCTGGGCCAGGCTAGAGGGGGCTGGGTGCATGCACAGGTGCTCAGTAATCAAGACAGCAGGGATATCCTCTCCTTTCCCCTTTTCCCCTGCAAGATAGGAAATACAGACAACACGGTACTGACATATTTTGGCCATGATCCCCCACGCTGACCTCCCTGCTCTCTCTCCCACCAGCCCCCACCCACCTCCTCACCTTCTTGCCTTCCTTCTCCCTGAGTCTGCGGCCTCTCTCCTCCTTCTGCATCTCCACTCTGGAGCCCAGGCCATCCTGTGGATGGATGTGTGGGTCCTCCAAAGAAAGTCTTCAAGGCTAGTTTCTATACAAGTGGAAAACTGGGAGCCAGCTGTAGTGTGCTCAGTGTGCTACTCCAGTCCTTTGCAGTTTGGCTGAAAGAGAAATGGGGTTTATGTCTAGGCATGGCAGGGTCTGCCAGAGGCTGGAGAAAGCTGGTGTGTCCAGTCCTCTTAGGATGGTTTCCAAATTCTCCCCAAGGATGTTAGGCAGGTACTTCTAGGGTAGCTAACTGGAGGCAGATGGTCAGACTGATGGAGTTGGGAGAGATCCTTAACTCTGCTTCTGGTGTCCAAATGTAAAGAAGCTTTCTGCTTCGAGACAGGCCCTCAGGGGTCTGCCACTTATCCAGCCCACCATTTCAAAGGGAACTTGGCAGGACTTGAGGCTTCTGTTGCTTCCCTTAACTCTGTAGAGGTGGGAAGGGGTGAGTCTAAACGTGTCATTAGTTGCCCATGTATACACTGCCTTTGAGAGGGAAGCCATAGGATCAATAGCTGTTTAATGCAAATGTCATGATTTTACTCCAGGACCTTAGAGGTAGCTCCCAGCTGAAAATATGGAATAGTCTGTTAAAGATAAGATAGAAAGACATAGTTAGACAGAGGGTCACTGCACTTGCCACAGGAATGGGGGACTTTTAAAAATCAAAGGCCACCATCCAGAAAATAGTCATATCAGGGGACAGGTAATGAAATATGTTAAGTAAAAACCAAACACTGTAAGAACAATAGGGAAAGTGACAGGAAGCAATTAGGGACCACAGAGCCTTCCCTACTCTAAGCAGCCTAGGCTCCTGGCTCTGATGTGTAGGCTCCCCACTCTGTTTAGAAATACAAAAAAAAAACACGCTGGCTGGTTAGCTCACTCAGTTATAGCACGGTGCTGATAACACCAAGGTCAAGGGTTCAGATCCCTGTACCAGCTAGCTGCCCCCCAAAAAGAAAAGATATTAAAAAAAAAGTTCCAGTGGCCTCACAACCTCACAGACCTCCAGAAGTTTCTCCCCCCTTTGGGAAGCCCCAGCCTTGTTACACAGAATAAGTTGGGGTAGGGAGATATGCCTTTTGGCAGCCTCGCCCAGATGAGGCAAGCAGGTGTGGGCAGGCTCACCTGCCTGGGAAGCATGTTGTGAGTAGACGGGCCCATTCCTGGCTGGGAGGAGGGCAGTGTCGGCCTGCCAGGGCCTGTGTTCATGCCTGCATGTGCGCGCCTGCATGTGCGTGTGCATGTGTGAGGGTGTATGTGCTGGAAAAGGGTTGGCACAGCACTAAAGGCACAGAAACATGCCCCATTCACACCTCTAACGCTACCCTAAGCAACCATGACCCTCTTCCCAGGCTTATGGGCAAATATACCCATGGAAAGATATGAAGGCCCAAACCTGTTGGCAGGCACCTTAGTAGAGAAAAGTCTATGACCTTTGGGTTCAGACAGATCTGGGTTCAAATCCCAGCTCTGTTACTTGCTACTGTGTGATTTGGGGCATAATCGCTTAACTTCTCTGACCTTTGTGTTCCTCATCTGTAATATGGGAATTTTATATATATATATATAAATTTATATATTTTATATATTTATATTTAAATATATATAAAATATATTTTATTTTTATTAAATATATTAAATATATTTATATATGTTATATA